AAGAGCTCGCTCAAGAGTTTGAGCTCTGAGCAACAGCGGTTCGAGTCAGCCCGAGCTGAGCAGCCGTGAGCTGCCAACAGGTGGCTGGATGGCTCAGCTAAAATAAATAAATAAATAAATAAATAACTAGTTGAAGGTGCTAAGATAAATTGAAAACAGGCAGAAGCTAGAGGGGAGTTGATCATGAAAGATGGGAATTGCAATAGCTGAGATGTGTGTGTGTGTGACTTCTGCTCTGGAAATACTTCTCAGTTCATGAGATGCAGTGTGGCTATAATTCAAAAAGAAAGGCACTGTCTTACTGACTAGAGAAGTAAGAGAATGGAGTTTATGGCTGTCATAAAAGCTACAAATGAATGGGAATCCCAGAAAGGAGGAAGCTGCAAGACAGGGATCCAAAGTGTGCAAATAAATGTCATACAAATCCTTGGCTGACCTTTGAGCTACACGTGTATGGGACAAATTCTAAGGAGCCCAGCAAAAATGCAACAGTTAACAATTTGAAAAAACTGAGCAGGGATTTCAGCAGCTACCCACCGAGGATAGAGTTTGTAATTTGGGTCTAGCCAAATTAATTGCCTACTTGAACAAGAATCAACACATTAGGGAACAAAGTAACAGAATTCAGAGTCTCTATAACACATCATGTATGAAGTCCCTAGCAATAAAAGGTTAACTATACATACAAAGAAATGGGAAAATATCCACACAAGAGAAATAGTCCTTAATAGAAACAGCCCCTGGAGGTGATAAACAGGCTTATGGCATAAATTCTGGTGATGGTTTCATGGGTGTATACTTACTTATCTCTAAACTCATTAAGTTGTACACATTAAATATGTACAGCTTTTTGTTTGTCAATCATACCTTAATAAAGTAGTTTTTAAAAAATAAAGAAACAGATATCAAGATGATCCAGAGGGTAGAATTAGCAGCTAAAGACTTTAAAGCTGTTATACATATTTTAAAGGCCTTAAGGAAAATATGATCATAATGAATTAACAGGTGGAAAATTTTGCTAGAGAAATGAAAAGTATTAAAAAAAAGAGGAAATTCTGGAAC